ACTTGGGCTTGGGAGTGCTTTTCGACTGCTCTGAGACGCAGGCTTCTATGCTTGCCCTACATCTCTGTCTACTCACAGATTGCTGTTTTCGTCTCCGCCATCTACCACACTGTGACTGATCCGCAAGGCTGAACATCTCCTAGCAGAAGTCAGACCGCGAGCTATTCTCAGCGTAAGAACTGTCGCCTCTTAAACATCCCGCTGCCCACCCCAACAATATTGTTGCGGGATTGCAGTCTGCCCCGTACTGGCCATGCACCTGGCGTATCACCCTGAAAATTACTGTAGGGTATGCGCAGGAGGACGGGACTGTAATGCTGTTTATGTCCTTAGTCATCCTAGTCCCAGCCCGCTATTTCAGCGTCACCAAAATTGTCCAGAGAGGCACTTGACTGCTCATGCACCAGCTGATGAGCCGGATTGTGGACGTGATGAGCTGTAGTTGTGTCTAGATGCACTGGGATGCTCTCTAAGAGAATCGACGGCTTTGAATTCACAAGCTTTGGCGGAGTGGAAGAGCTTTGGAAGCCTGGCCTCCCGCTCAGGTAGCGGAAAGAACCTAAGAACTCCTTAAGGCTGCTCCATCAGCTAGAGCCCGCCGTCCCCTCCCGCTGAGGTGAAGATGTTCAACATTTGTTTGGATGCCCATCGGCCCCCCAGTTGCAACTCAGTGCGGCGGTCTTTGCCTCTGCTTGAGAAGCTCAAAAGCCCTTTTAAGCCCAAGCTCAAGCTCTGTCGCCCCTTTCAGCCCCTTTCTTTCAGGTGCTGGTCCCCAACGCTCGGGATCATGAAGCTCCTGACGCTCGGCCCGCAGCCTGGGCCTGGGCCCGCAGCCTCGAACTTTGAAAAACCCTTGAGGGGGTTTTTCCATCATCCTGGCATAGGCAATCCGTTCAGCCAGCCCTTTTGCTGCAAAACGTGTAACTACCTCAAACCAACAACGAAACCGTTGCACACCTTAAGCTCCATGTCTGTTTATGTGCAAAAAAAGCTCTGGCGCGCGCTGCTCGAGACACAGCAACGATTGATGACGTGGGGCTTGCACTCGCAAGCCGGACGGCCAAGGATCGACCATTGGCACTTCCACACACTTGGAACTCAGCTCGTGAGCCTGCTCCGATTTGTCTTGCATCTTGTCTTGAGTTCATGCGCATTTACAACATTAGCTTTGAAGAAGATGAAGCGCCGACGGAGCAGGATAAGGGGTTCCTTTTTGCCATGGAGAAGGTTTCTGCATCCCTTCAGTCAGGCCCAAACATATCCAAACACAACAAGCCCGACAGTGCGCCCAGGCAGGGGTACGACACCATGGTGCATGCACCTCGGTATCAGCTACCGGTAGCAGTTCAGTTCCATTGCAACCGTAGCCGCAGCAGCCCAAAGCTGTCGAATTTGAAACCTTGGCATTGGCAGACTCAACGAAACTCAATTCTAAACCAGGCATCGCAGGAATTTGATGGTGTGGTTCCTGCCTTTCTTAAAACAGTAACATCATGAAGCGCAGGCCTTACCGTTCAATAGTTGCGACAGATGGTTTCTGGCGGGGAGATGTTGTGCTTGCAGTGCTTGCAGTGTTGGATTTGATCCCCTGTACATCGGTCCACCGCCATTTTGGATTTGATCCCTGTACGTGGCTGCCGTAGGTTTTCATTGTCAGCGACCTGATTCACCACGGCGGACTGGGAACCGGCTACGTTTGGTGGCTGCATGTTTTGTTCCTCGTTTGGCTCCTGCATGCTGTTCTGAACCAAACATCGCAACAAAGCACGGCCACGTTGGTTGTGGAATCTTGGCGGTACATCCTGGGCTTCCACACAAAGAAAGCTTGCAATGACACGAGCTGCCACTTGGCGGCCCTGCCCGGAAACTCCTGCGTCGTTTGCGAGCTGCTAAAGGAAGACAGCAGCAAGAACTGGAAGGGCAAAGCAACATCGAGAAGGACGTCGGAGCAGAAGCAAATTCTGGCTGCAACGTTTACCATCCAGATTGGTGCTGTGATGTATGCTGCCATCCTGTTTTACATGGATGTCTTGCGCTTGGGTGCCGGGTTCCAGGAGAGATCCTGAAGACCCAGCCGAATACAACTTCTTCCTATCTTGTGCTTTATATTTTAGGTGGTTTCTTCGTTGCTTTTGGGCCTCCGTGTCGGGATGCATCGAGGGCTGTCTAATTCCAGCTGCCTCTGTGGAGTACCCGCAGGAAGGCCTGATTCGGAACGATGTGCTCTTCTTGCACGAGGCCCGGGTATCGGAAAAGCGTGAAGCGAACACTGTAAGACGTAAAGGAACCGTTGTGCGAGGCCTGGGTAATGCTTCAGCACGCCAACGTCCTTCTCAATCCCTTCTGCCAGCGCCTGGACCGTCGCTATGGGGCCTGCTGCACGTTTTAGAATCTGTTTTTCTTTCTTGCAGAGCTTAGTATTTATAAACTGGCCTCCGTCCTTCTGGGTGTCTGTGTGGCCCTTCAGGTCTCCATGCTGCGAAAAGGCCAGCACTGGGTCATCGCGGGCGTTCTCGTCATGTACTGGTCCCGGGAGGCCCTGCCCTGGAGAAATTCTCGGGAAGCCCTCCCGCCTCCCAAAGCCGCAGAGCCGCAGAGTTGAGAGGTGATCAGCATGCTCCTCTGCCTGGCCTTTACATCGCCGCGGACGCAGCTCGCGATCCTGGTCTCTTCGGGCTACCATTTGGCCACCTGGCTGCGCTGGCAGGGGTTTCAGTCTCGCACATACCGCGCAGTCAAAGGCGGGGTGCTGCTGGAGTGGAAACAAGCATAGGCTGGAGACATATGACGACAACAATATATTCGTAATGGAACTGTCAAAGAAAAAAGTGATCATCACCGTACCTGCGGCCGTGTCCCGAAGGGGAAGCACGGGGCATGGAATTTGAGGATAGTAGGTTATACTACACTGACTACGCTGTATATGTTAATTACACTAAGGTATTTTATTATAACATCATCTGTCATATGTTAGGAAGCGGCCTTGGCCTCAAAGCCTGGCCTGAGCCCCTAACACACTACGTGGCTCCGAGGTGAAGATGCAGAGCATCTGCTGCGATGCGCAGCGCGGGTGGTCCCCGTCGCTTGGAGACTTGGCAGCTCGTGGTGCCGCGCCGTGTTGGGCTTCGGGGTTTTGGAGTCTTTCGCCGGATGCTGATGATTTTTATTTAACACCTTTTAATATGCCGGAGTCTGTTAAAGGCTCCATGAATTTCAAAGCAGCTCCCAAGCAGCTGACCGAAGAACTCTTTCCGATAGAGCTGGAAAGCAGAACAAGAGGCGGAGCATCTGGCCTGGAGTTCCCTCTTAGAAGTTTCCGAGGAATTATGAGGCTCCTGATTGACCACTGGCACTTCGACAGCCTGGCGCAGCGTGCGGTGAGCGCTCTCCGCTTCTTTTTGCAAGGCGGGGCGTGGGCTCTTCCGTTTCCGCTGTGTGAAGCGCTCTGTGTGGCTTTTGAGCCTAGGCTTCTGGGGACTTGTCCCAAGCTGCAAAATACCGATTTACAGAGGTTGAGAGGGAGCCCGTCAGGTCGAAGGTCTCCCAGATTTCACGGAGCTCACGTCCGCAAGCAAACCTCTTGACTTACGAGCACGCAGTTTTTGTGTCGTGCACCCGGGCTGGACTTGCTTGGCAACCACCACATCCGAGGATTTTCTCAAGGTTCTTCTGTACAGTCTCGCCATCGGTTTTAACTTTTAAACCCCTGTACAATCCACGATGGCCAGCAGCCGGCTCCTCAGTGACAGGGGTGTGGCCAGCTCTACAGGTGCCACATCTGTAGACTAGGGAATGCAATGCTGTAAGATTCCTGCTCACGGAAGACAAGTGTTGCCTTTGACCCCCAGTATCCCTGTCATTGGGCCGGCGCAGGGGAGACCGATGGAATCCACGGAGCCTCAAAAGCCAAAGCCCCAAGGCCCGCAAGACCCTAAATCCAGTAGGGGAAGGGGAAGCAGAGAGGAGCCGCAAGCCGCGTCGCTTCGCGCCGCTAGTCGTGTTCTCGGTTAAGGTCAGAAGTCCATCCTGGCCGTCGCCGCAGGTGCGGCGGCCGTGGCCTCCACGGCATTTTGGCAGAAAGGATGAGAGCTTCACTTGCGGATTTCGTGGGCAGGGTGGAGAAATCTAATGTGAGTCCAAGAAATTCGAAGAGGTTCAGCTTGGAAAGTCCTTGGCATTTCTCTGGATTGAGAACTGGCAAGACTTCGACCGTTTGGTTTGTGCTGCGGTGACCGCGATATAGACTTTGGAGGTTCACACTTTTCCAATGTTGGCTCCGTTTATGATGAACGAACTCCTAATGCAAAGCGGCTGCGGTGAAGACGAAGACCCAGCATGTAACAAGAGTGTTACTTAATTAGCTCACGTTAAGAAAGACTTGTTCCTGCACTGCTACTCTTGAGTACAAATCGTTGGGCACGGAGATATGCTTGAATGATGATAACTGCTGTGGGTTCTTTTGAGGTTGCCTCTGGGGCACGAGCTGATGCTGCAATGTTCTCGTATAATAGACTTGTGGACAGAACGCGTTGGACCAATAAATGCGGCATTAAGGGACTGAGGTGCAACACATGCATGCACCCGTGCAGATATCCATACACGGTCATGCGACTTACCACCACATTGCAAACCTGGAAATGCACACACACACACACAGAGACAGAGAACACGATTGGCATGTGCGCATGTACTTTTCGATGTTAAATAGTATATGTCAGCAGAGTGTATGTGTTGTTTATGTACACATGTACTGATACATAGACAGGTACACTGTCTGCGCTTGCAGCCACAGTTACAGTATTTCATATAGCATGGAGGCCACACGCGCACGTGAGCTTGCGTGTTTGCACTCTGCCACACTTTCTTCTGCATGCACTTGTGCAAAAATGTCCGAGCACCGACAAGTGCGGGGCGACCTTTTCGCTTCAGATCCAGATTCGAGCTTTCGGGTTGAATCTGCTTTCGCTCGTCTGTTTGAGCGGTCATCCTTAGCCAAACCAATGGCCCAACGGCCCGAGGCCTTCGTTCAGAGCGGCCCAGCCGGACAGGCGCAAGCTCGGGGGGTTCTTTTCGGCTCCGGAGCCGGGGATACCGGGGATCTGGATTCCGGGATGTGGTAACGCTTCAGTGGCGACCCGATTTAACAATTTTGTCCGGCAGGCTGCCCCGGAGAGAAGCAGCGTGCAGCTGCGTGGCCGAACTGCGGCCCAGAGTACTGCCACAGGCGTACATGAGATGTATTGTTGTTGCATGGACTGTTGCCCGAGCTTTCGCACAGACCTTGGTGTCTCCGTTCCCTTGGCTGTTTATCGTTGCAAAAAGGATGTTCGTCATGATTTTCGATTGACCTCGCTCCCTTTGTACCAGGCGGCATTTCTGCAGAAGTTTCCTCCCCGCATGAGAAACCTTTTCGACATCGTCTCCTACGCTGGGAAACGCATGGAAGAAGGATTTTTGTGACTGTGAGCTCCCATCAGGCAGCGGCCAAAGCATTGTTGGATGCACGGCAGCTGCTTCGGCATCAGCCTCTCAGCATGATTTGTTGGCTAGCACTGGACATGGTTGCTTCATGATTCAATGATGCTCTTGCTTGCGTAAGCTTTGGGATCTGGCGGTTTGAGATGGCCTTGCCAATGTCGCCGAGGTGTTGGTTCTGCAGTTAGGTTGCGAGCTTTGCTCATCGCTTGTTTGAAGCATGAGTCGGGCGTTTCTTCGGGAGGCACTGCTTAAAAGGTGCGCAGGCCGCCAGCAGCCAGCAGCCCCGCAAGAGCAAAGGGTTCATTTAAGAAAACACTGCAGATTACTGCATTTCAGCCGACGCACGCAAGCCTAAAATTGCGAAGATCCTGCAGCACAAGATGCGCTGGGAAGTCCTTGCGCCCCCCTTCGACCTTCCCCTCGTGTTTGTAGAGTGAAAATCACTGCCCCAAATCGCCGTAATCGTGCTCCAGAGGCCCTTTTAGCAGCACAGCTGCGGGGCAGGCGCAGCGAGGTGGCGGATTCGGGAGGGAGCGAAGGGCGAAGGGCTCCAAGTTTCGATTTGGCCTTTAGGATGTTGTGGGGACTTGGGAGGTTTCCTTGAGTGCCGTCAAGCCTGATGTCTTTGAAGACGAAGTCGCTGCTGCAGCTCACGCCTGGTGACCTGGTCCGAACAAACGGAATTCGGAACCTTCAACCTCACGCAATCTTACCAATCCGGCAAAGCACGATCCCTGACAACCAAGAGCCTTGCAGAGCCCCCTTCTTCTGCGCCAGGCCAGCTACGGTCGCAGGTCCCAGGCATGGCTTCGTGCAGAGGGTTCTTTACAGGGACAAAGCGGCTTAACCCTGTTCTGTTTCCGCAGAGCTGGCAGGTTGTCGCTTCCAGTACTACTACTTTACAGGGACAGCACTGCCAACACAGACCTCTGTAGACGATGGCACGCACTAATGTGAATTACCGGTCCATGCCGTCCCCACATCATGTTTGAAATGTGCAGCGACGTAATGCGCCTCCATTCCAAACCCTGAAGCACTGACAGCACAGCCGCATCTGAGAAGGTGGTTGTCAGCGCGTTCGAGAACGAGCTCGGCGTGCAGGACCCCGTCGGATTCTGGGACCCGGCAGGCTTTACGGCCGATGGTAGCGTGGAGAACTTCAAGCGCCGCCGGCAGACGGAGCTCAAACATGGCCGCATCTCGATGTTGGCTACGATGGGTTACATCACCCCTGAGTCGCGAGTCAGCGATTGAT